TCCCACATCTCCCGCACCTCATCCCTCACACCCCGTCCACGCAATAAGAACCAAAAAAGAATCCCCCTCGTCCTCACGTACCACCCCACCAACCTCCGGATCCAATGCATCATCCTCCGACACTTCCGCCATCTGCAATCCGACCCCACCACCAAAGACATCTTTCCCTCCCCACCCTTATCTGCTTTCCGGAGGGACCACTCTCTCCGTGACTCCCTTGTCCGCTCCACACTCCCCTCAAGCCCCACCACACCCGGCACTTTTCCCTGCAACCGCAGGAAGTGCTACACCTGCCCCCATACCTCCTCCCTCACCCCCATCCCAGGCCCCAAGAAGACTTTCCACATCAAGCAGATGTTCACCTGCACATCTGCCAATGTGGTATACTGCATCCGCTGTACCCAGTGTGGCTTCCTCTACATCGGGGAAACCAAGCCGAGGCTCGGGGACTGCTTTGCAGAACACCTACGCTCGGTTCGCAATAAACAACTGCACCTCCCAGTCGCGAACCATTTCAACTCCCCCTCCCATTCCTCAGACGACATGTCCATCCTGGGCCTCCTGCAGTGCCACAACGATGCCACCCGAAGGTTGCAGGAACCTTCCGCTTACTCATATTCCGCTTGGGAACCCTGCAGCCCAATGGTATCAATGTGGATTTCACAAGTTTCAAAATCTCCCCTCCCCCTACCGCATCCCAAAACCAGTCCAGCTCATCCCTGCCTCCCTAACCTGTTCTTCCTCCCACCTATCCCCTCCTCCCACCTCAAGCCGCACCTCCATCTCCTACCGACCAACCTCATCCCGCCCCCTTGACCTGTCCGTCCTCCCTGGACTGACCTATCTCCTCCCTAACTCCCCAACTACACTCACCTTTACTGGCTCCATCCCCGTCTCTTCGACCTGTTTGTTTCCTCTCTACCTATCCTCTCCTCTATCCATCTTCTATCCGCCTCCGACTCTCTCCCTATTTATTTCAGAACCCCCCTCCCCTCCCCCTTTTCTGATGAAGGGTCTAGGCCCGAAACGTCAGCCTCTCTGCTCCTATGATGCTGCTTGGCCTGCTGTGTTCATCCAGCCCTGCACCTTGTTTTCTCGGATTCTCCAGCATCTGCAGTTCCTACCATCTCTGATTCAAAAGGAGAGCAATGTTTTGTTTCATTTGGTCTCAGAAAGTAGTAATTTTGCTGAAGCTGCATTCATTGCTCTTTCTAATTGCTCTAAGAGGGGAACCTTGAGGCGAAGGTTTAACTCTGATGTTGCTGTTCTTGTCCTTCCTGATGGCAGTCCTCATGAATCTGGGACGTTTTCATTAAATAGGTTCACTGAAATGCTGCTTTACGTCCTTAGATGGTACACCTCAGATATGAGAGTATTTAATTAGAACTTTACTCAGGCGGCAATTTTCTAATTGAAAAATGTTGAGCCAATCAAGGCGAATTTTGCCCAAACAATTTCGTCCCATCAAGCTTGGGCCCCAAGACTTTTACTACAATCAGTGGTAACTGAATCAGTTGCTTCTTGTAAGAGACCAGAACCGAAGTTGTACCCTTAATCTGTCAAGGCTCCCTGTACAGTTCTCAGCCTAGCCAAGGTCTTGTGCAAACTTAAGATTTAGGACCTCTCTTACAGTCAAAAGGGAGCGGTGAATTAAAATATTGTCATTTTTATCCTCAAACCAGTCCAGTTTACGGAATGGGCAAAGGTAGTAGGGGGCTGTCCTTCACAAGGCTGGACATGAGCCATGTGTACTTGCAATTACAGCTAGATCAGGATTCCCAGAATTATGCTACAATTAATATCTATAAGGGTTTGTACCAACAAACGAGACTGACATTTGGGGTATCATCAACCTCTGCAATTTTTCAGCAGATGATGGAGAACATTTTACAGGGTCTATCCCACGTTGTCATTTATCCAGATAACGTGCTAATAATAAGGAAGTCCAATAAGTAACACTCAGAACTTGGACATTGTCCTTAAATGTTTCTCCCAGGTGGGCATATGCCTTAGAAGGGGAAAAGGTGTTCCAGGCACCCAAGTGACCTACTTGGGCTAGAGCCTGCAAGACTCGGTTATACCCATTGGAAATAGTGAGGGCAAACAAAGGTGCCCAATTCCCACATCCATACCAGAGCTTAGGCCTTTCCTTAGGCTGGTGAACTATTATGGTAAGTTCATATATAACCTGGCCTCCATCCTGGCACCTTTGTATCAACTCTTAAAAAAGAGTCAGCCTCGGAAATGATCGCGTTGCCAAGACGCAGCTTCGAGGGAAGTGGAAAAAACAGCTATCATCCTCGAAGGTGTTGGTACACTACGATACCAAGAGACATCTGGTATTGACATGTGATGCCTCTCCATATGGCATTGGGGTAGTATTAGCTTATAGATGGCCCAATGGAGAGGAACGCCCAATAGCCTATGTGTACAGGATTTTGGTTAAGGCAGAGCATAAATAC